GTTTTGTTTTGCTTAAAGCGCCTTAAAGTCCGGTGCGCCTTGTATGTGGAAAAAGTTTGAAAATAGACCACTGATTGACGGTGCGCCTTATAATGCAGTGCGCGTTATAGTGCGGAAAATACGGTATCAGAGAGATCATGTGTAGACTATGCAGCACTTACCGGAGTACTCATATCAGAAAGGGAGGACTCTGAACTAGTGGGAGTTACAGTCCTGCTAAGAACAATCTTCACTTCCTTTGTGATCCTGTGCTTCTGTAACTGTGTAACAGTAGATTGCACTTCAGATGTTCCTGGCTCGAACATCTCCAGGTTCTCCTTCACAATGCCCGTGAACTTCATAGGATCTCCGAAGCTTACACGCTTGGTGGTGACTTTTGGTGGAAGCTCTTGCGGCTTCATCTCCGGAACATTCGTCGCAGCCTTGAAACCACCACGAGGATCTTTCCCCTGCTCTTCTGCAGGTAAGGGAACAGGACGTTTCTCAACCTTAGCAGTCAGCTGCAATTTCGAGTGCTTTAGCATGGCTTTTTTGTGCATGGTTATGGCTCTCTTCCCACTGATGAAGAATGCTGCTCCCACAATGAGCTTCGGCTTGACTTTAGCTTTCAGACTTCCAAATATTATGGGAGGCAGGGAAGTGGTACTTTCTACTGGAAGATCAGCTTGGACATTAGAACTCCTCCCCATCCCGGGGGAGCTCATATATCCCCTAATGTTATTTTTCTGTCCCCGGGCAGAAATCCGTTTGGTAACCTTTGGGACTGTTTTCGTCCTCTGTGTGGTCACGGATCTTAGGGGGCTGGTGAGGCTTGCGTTTGTTTGGCTGATGGCAGGTTTTGTTTCACTTATCAGCTTCCTCTCTAGGGGCGTCAAGTACAGTGCTTTCTTCTTGCTATAAAACGATCTTGTACCCATGGCAGGTTTGACGGGTGAGGCAATCTTGGGCGAGCCCTTCGGTGGAGAGTCACCATATAGTATCCTGGGGGCAAGAGGTGAACTTCCCATTCTTCTGGGTGATGCCATTATTTTATGAGAATGGTAATTCTGCTTATTCTGGCCATGTCCGATTACTGTTTCTCCTACAGGAGACTGGGGGAGCAGAGGGGATCTCCTTCTGGGAGGGGTGCCTCGTCCCACAACCTGCCTCTTCACCCGAGTGCTGACAAGTTGACAAGGATACACACTCAATTATCACACATAAATAAATAGCATTACCTCCAAAAAGTTTCATTCAGACACCCAAGAGCTTACCTCGCAGAGCCAGTGGAACTGTGCTTTCTCTTTCTGGCTGTACCGTAAGGCAACATTTTCCCCAGCCTTGAAAACAGCAGAATAACACATGATCACAGGTTTTGGAATTACAATGACAGGAAACATGGAAACATGTGGGGGAGGTTAGGACGATTCGTGGGTCCCTGAGTGACAGAGGGCCTAAACATTTTCAACATGATTGCATTGGCTTGGGGCACAACACGATATGCTTTCATGGAGCCAGAGTCCCTGACAGGATACCTAGAAAATACATAACAGTACACCAGGACGGTCAGCCTACAGCGCAATTTGGCAAATATCAATAATACGAAATTAAACTTATTTCAGTGTTTGAGCTTAAATGTCTTTACGCTTTAGATAAATTTTGGCAAAAGGTTACAGACGTTTTAAGACTGGCAAAAGCAGATCCGATAGTGTGACGACTGTAACTAATTAATACTTTGGTAACTTTTCATGAGACAAGCTGCCTCAGTTTTGTTTAGGAAGTGCTCGGCAATGTCAGCATAGTGGTGGATTTTATCTAAAAACACCGAAAACGAGCGAAGGCAGCCGGTCTGATGCAGTTATCTGCAATTTGGCGGGATCGGCCTCATATAGACCAGGTTGACCGCTTGTTAGTTAATATTATTAACTACCTAGCAAGTAACGAACAGTTACTGGTAATGCATGGGTGTTCCCCACATACCTACAATATCAACGATCTCGCACGATATTTCATATTTACAGTTATTCTGCATCACAGGGAGTGTTAAGTATGAAACAGGTGAGTGCAACAAAATCAACACCATCGTAAGTTATTTATACTAACATCAACTTAAACACAACAAGTAGTAGACGTACAGTGAGATTCAACAAATTACTCGTCAATATGGCCTTAATCGCGAAAATATAGTTAGCACAAGTGTTGCCGCCAAGGGCTGAACTATTGTTAAATCGGGGGGCTATCACATTATCAGAACGACACCATAACTAGAGCAATAATCCGGATTATACTCGAACCGCAGTGATACCGGAGGGTTTATGGGAGGTTAAGCCCGTTTGAGCGCGGCGTGAGCGGGCGGCGGCGGCGGCGGCGTACCGTCCGTGTCTCCCCAGCTAGCCGGTCTGCTGGCGCCGTCAAGCTGCAGTACATTCGCGGCTCTTTTCGAAAACAGTTCGAATCGCGCGCGCCGCAACTTCTGACGCACAGATCCGGAAACGAGAGGCGTGGCTACGTCTTGGATGACGTCTCCTCTTATTACGTTTTCTGTGACGTCTTAAAGAGATACATGCATCAACATCCTATACCTATACCATTTAAGAAGCGGTAGGGACAAGGTGTGTGAAGCTCTTTGCAAAGGCGTATAGCAGAACAAATCACGGTCCTCAGGGTCCGAGCATTGCTGTTTTTCCAGCCTTCCTTTACCTGTGAGGCAGGTGTGAAGCCTCTGTGTCCAATGAGAATCAGATCAGTAATTATTAAACTAACTACTTGGGTAAACTGAAAACAACGCCTGGATTTGGAATTGAGGTCCCGATTTGAGGAGCCCTGTAGTATAGTGTATATGTATTAACTCAGGATATTGTACTATGAAGAAAACACTGTAATTCATGATTTTTTATTTATTTATTTATTTATTTTTGATTTTTTTTTATGGGTTACTTCCTAAATAAAGTGTATTTAACCTCAGTATGGCAACCTAAAGCGGGAGAGTTGCATTGCCAGGAACTGGAGGTGAGTAAAATCAGTCAGTATGAGTAAAAATAGGAGAGATTTGACGTGAAATCCTTTCTACATTTAAAATGCCATTTGAATATAGCCTTGATATAAAAGATGTGGAACATAAAACAATTTATGGACTGAATAATGCTCATATCAGTGGATGACTGTAGTAGTACACTGTAGTAACTGCAAGTCAGATTTAGGTGCTCTCCACAGTGTCCTAATTTCCCATTCTATAATTGAAAAACGGCAAGCGCTTTTCCATCCTAAGCCAACAATTTCCCTCTGCATCTTCACAAGGAGGGATATCATTGTTAAAACTACATAATTACAAAGGAGAAGCAATATGTTTGCTCAGAAAACTTCAACAGACCATCTGGGAGATTGAAAAATATTCTACATCAACATAAAAAAAATGCAAGCAATCATAATCACAGTAATATGTAATTGATTATTGATTAAAGCACTGGCCCTACCAAGAACCACTTAACACAGTACATTGAGGGAACCCTGGAATCATCAGCACATGTGCAGGGATAATTGACATTCCAGCTGGTGTTTCTCATACCAGTGTCAATGCTTAATTAGTCAAGTTTGCTGATGAGAATAAATTGCCCCTAAATTACTGTAGGTCCATTGTAGGTCCAGGCTGCAATGCACAGGGTGGAGACTGGAGAACACATTAAGTCATTGACAAAAATTCACGCACTGAATCTGAAAATGATCTTCATTAAATGTGTATGCCATTCCCTGCATCATTGCAGGTCCAAAGCACTGACTGTTCTTCCGCAAAATGTTAAGCCATGTAACGTTCTTGACACATACTTGGCCCTCCATTGCTGTCCTATGGCAAATAAATACGAGGGGGTTTGGCACCACTATTTTTTGGTGAAATCCTGCTGATGATATGGCCGCAACAAAATATAGCTTGCCATCAGATCATATAAGAGAGTGAGAGAGGTTCCCACAGAGATTCTGACTAAAATGACAGCCTTGTGGATCACAAAGTGTTTCACTTGTCTGTGGTAGATCTGACACACTCGATCCTGTCAAAATCTCAAGTTGACAACCTTTTATCATTCTTTTCTGCAGCAAGTAATCGTGCCTCAGTGATTCCAGAGCCGGAATGACATAATTAAATGGGACCAAATAAATCAATTAACAAATCAATGAACAAATGTCTTGGTGCCTCATTATCTAATTGGCATAGTAAGAGGTTTTTCCATGCTTTTCAGGCAGGGGCATGGATACCTCGGTCAACAATGTCCACTGAGAGGGACACCCCCCAGTCCGCAAACTGTACCAAGGGGGCCCAGAATCCCTAGGTACAACCCTGGGTGCAAGACATGAGGACAATAAACTAGATGTATGAGGTTCATAATAATGACCAACACAAGACACGTTGATGCCATCAAGTCTCTAGGGTGGCCCACTCTGGTCTTCAATTTGAAATAAGTCTGCACACACATTTACATGTAAGTTTTATTACCTTTATTACCATTTGTAAACTACCCCAATGCTATAGATGTAGTGAATTTATTGGATTATAATGAAATAATGTAGATTTGTCATGATTTCTTGCATGAGCATGAGAGTCTGAAAACGTCAGTGTCACGCCAGATGCGTGAGAGTTGGCAACCCTGAGTCTCTCTCCTCAAACAGTGAGTTCAGTGCTACCAGGCCTCAAAATGACAAACCCTTCTTCATTACTGTATGTAGGCAAAAAAGAAGTGAATTCACTGAGACAATAATACTGAAGAAAATAAAGTAAAACTGGAAGACAGTGACAAATTATGTGAAGACAGTTTGCTTGTAGAGGTCTTTGCTAACATACAATATTAAGTCTACACAGTTCATTTGTTGCAACAGTAGTTTTCAACTGTATTTAAGTCTTTTTCACTGAATGCGTATTAGGCTATAAAACCCTTTTAGTTATCTTTCTGTATACGATTGGTTCTTGATGTTAATCAGTACTTTTTGGGGGCAGAGAAAGCCTTGCAATATGTCCAGAGCTGATTCGCATGCAAACCCCCATTACGCCGGGACAAAGCGGAAAGGCCCCCTCCTCCGACTCGGAAACTTCCTGTCGCCGTTTTCCATGCTTTTATTGCACTCTGACGGTCTTTCAAAACAGAATCGCCCGCATATAGCACTTTAAAAAGATCGACTAAATCTGCTGCTTATCTTAGTTGTCTTAGAACAAAATGGTGTTTTATTTCACGAGTGCAGGTGAGTTCCCGGTGACACAGACGTGGAATACATGTCTGGCTAGCTCGTTAGCCAACAGACAACTGCCGATTTCACAGCATTAGGATAGAGGGTCGATTAGTGTCAGTTATATTGCTAGCAAAATGGTTGATAGTTCATTTTTACGCTGTGATCTGTTTTCTGTAATCAAGCGAGAAATACACCTGGTTGCTGTACTATAACTAGCTAGCTATCTAGCTAATTGCTCTTTTTCTGGATGTATCCTAGATGTAATACATTTAGATCTGCCAGATTATCTTTGTCCAGTAGCATATCTCTGTAATGGATAACGTAATGTCAGGATAGTTGTCTCTAATGAGCAGCTAATAAACTAATAATGTCCTTTGTGTTCTGGTGTGTACTGATAGTTTCATAACCGATGCTTAAATTAAGCGCTGTTTTCTTTTGCAGTTGTGACACCACCTTACACTATATATATGGGAAAAGACAAATATGAAAGTAAGTAACCAGCCGTTCAGCTATTATGTTTTTATAGGGATATACTTGAGCAAACGTGGACTAGGAACCAAAGGGCTCCCTGTTCAGGTACCGGGGGGCAGCTTTAATCGACGCACTGAACTTGAATGGCATGTAAAGAAGTGTATTTTGCATAAATATATTACAACTTATTGCCGTTTAATTAATATGTATGCAGATGCTGAATATCGAATAGTGCATCAAATTGCTGTTTCATTTGGACGCATTTTACAACATTAAACAGCAGTTTGTGTTCAACAGATGAAGATCTTATTAAATATGGATGGCCCGAAGATATTTGGTGAGAAATTGTTTTCCCCCAATCTTCTGTCAGGCTGGGAATTAGTTAATGCATCCAGTGACAATGACATTGATCACCCAAAGGTCTAACGGGTATTGGATACGATACACAGATCTCTGTGTGCAGTTTAGATGAACATCCACAAGGTGGCCTTTAAGATTTAGTTTAGAGGGGTTTAGATGGGTAAATAAGTGTTTCTCTTTGTAGAAACTACCGGAATCTTAAATTGGTTTATTATTAATTATTTGATTGACTCCCCATATAAATTGGCAATTTATAATCCAGTTGCAAAGAAATGGTTAGATGGTCAGTATAAGGAAGCAGTATTAACCAGAGTATCCAATCTTTTTGCAGCAACATATGATGAAAATAAAGTTAATAGCTGTGAAAAATAACTTGGTTTGCTTACAGGTTTCACGTGGATAAGCTGTCATCTGCCCATGTCTACTTGAGAATGCCGAAGGTACTGGGAATAACTTATAATATCCATACCATTTGTCTTGTCAACAGTTTTTTTAGGTATATTATACATTATTATCTGTTTTTGTCTTTGGTTTTTCTGGCTTTGTTCTGGTGGTGTTGGGAGAGGTTACAGATTCAGCAGGTTTGCCGAACCTGCCTGGGAATACTGAGAAACTGGCATAAATTAAATTCTGTGGAGTTCCACATTGTGTGTTATGTTATGTGTTTTCATATAGAGTGTCATGAAAATGGCATCTCTTCATTAAATTTTAGGGGACAACAATAGAGGACATACCTAAGGAGGTCCTCATCGATTGTGTGCAGCTTGTGAAAAACAACAGCATCCAAGGTAACCTTTGTACTAGCAGATCAGAATTAGTGTATAACAAAAATAACATCTTCATGTGTTATGTACCTGAAGACAATGCAGTATTACAGAATTGATGTGTTATAATCCCAGCTAAAAATGTATTGCTATTTGTTAATTTGGCTTGTATTATAAGGATTTGCTGTAATAAATTTGGCATGCACTTTTTTGAAAGTTTTTTTTTTTTTTTTTTATTGATTTCTGCAAATTGTTTTGAATCACGACCGATTTCTCAGTGTTTTTGTCAGTTGAGAAACTAACAACATGTTTTTGACAGGGTGCAAAATGAACAATATTAATATTGTTTACACGCCGTGGAGCAACCTGAAGAAGACAGCGGATATGGACGTGGGTCAGATAGGCTTTCACCGGCAGAAGGAGGCAAGTGCATTAACAGTAGAGGCCTTTGGTTGTTTGGATCCGTCTGCTAATGACTGTGCGGTTCTGACCGTCTTGTGCGAATCGGAAAGTACACCTCTGACACTAATGAATATTCACACATTGTTAGTTGTCTGATTGTTATTCGTTACCCCGGCATCATTATTATGATATGGTCTCACAGATCTGTTATAGTAGGATTACTATTTTGGATGTTTTAATAACATTTATGTTTATTTATGACATGTCAGGAACATATGAATAAGAGACTCCTCTCCTCTTCCACATTTATCGCAGCAGGGGTTAACATCTGGGTATATAGGAGAAAGTTTGAGTTTGCACATATGAGCTCTATGCACAACCTTGAACTGTAATAGACAGTGACGAGCACAGAGGGAAGTGCAATTAACCGCTTTAAATATTAAATTCCATGTATTGTCAGACAGTGAAAGGTTTAAATCCTTAAATTAATGTATGCTGATGCCGATGCCCCGCAACCCAAAGGGAAGAGTTTGCTTTTATGCAAATTTAATTTGTATCCTGAAAACTGACCAAACTGGGTGAACAATGATAACATGGATGGTATGGAAATTTCTGGATTGGACACAAAAATCAGGAGGTCATCTGCATAGAGAGACACCTTATGTTCCACTCCCTTCCACCAGATCCCCGAAATACCCCCATGGCCTTGGAGAGCGATAGCATGGGGCTCTATGGCCAAATCAAAAAGTAGGGGGTTTACGGGGCACCATTGACGAGTCCCTCGCTGGGGGTTAAAGGGATGAGACAGTTGGGAGTCAGTGAAAATTGAAGCATTAGGGCACGAGTATGACAGCTGTATCCATCCAATAAAACTTAGTCCAAAATTGATTTTTTTCAGGGTTGCAAATAAGTAGGGCCACTCCACCAGGTCAAATGCCTTCTCAGCGTCTAAGTAAAGTACACTCTCAGGAGTCTGACTGTAAGGGCTTTAATAGCTTGTTTGATCGTCAGATATGATTGATGGTAAGATGATTTCCAATCTGCGAGCAAGAACTTTAGCTAAAATTTTGGCATCAGTATTTACAAAGAGATTGGCCTGTCGTAGGAGCACTCAACTGGATCGTTGCCCTTCTTCAGGACAAGAAGGATGTAACCTAAGCTGAGGTGAAAGCAAAGAGGAGAATGTTTAAAAAAATTCTGCAGGAAACCCATCCGGTCCTGGAGATTTCCCAGACTGGAGCAAAGAAATAGCCATATCGATTTCCTCTTTTGATATAGGCTCATCTAATTTCCTCTGATCATCGGTAGACAGCATTGGAGCACCTATATTATTTAAGAAATTCTCCATAGAAACACTATCATCAGGAAATCCCGAAGAATAAAGTTGGCAATAAAAATTTCTAAATGTGTCATTAATTTCAGAGTAATCCGACATAATGTTTCCATCGTCCATCCTAATCTTGTGATGTGCCCCTTTACTTGGATGCCTTCGGCCTGATTGGCCAGCAGCTTACCACATTTATCACTATGGACATAGAGCAGACTCTTACTCTTCAAGAGCTGACGTTCTATAGAATGCGTTGAGAGGAGGTCAAATTTAGTTTGGAGTTTCACTCGCTTGTTATATAATTCTGGCTTTCTAACCTCAGCGTAAATCAACTTCTTTGATTTGATTGGCGAGTTCTAAACGCATCTTGTGGGCCTTTTTCTTCATACCCGCAGTATAGGAAATAATTTGTCCTCTGATGAAGGCTTTTAAAGTATCCAAACTATCAAGCTTGAGGTTTCAGATGTATTGTTTGTGCTAAAAAAGAATCTAATTTGCTCCTCCATGAATTCCACAAAATCGTTATCTGACAAAAGGGTCGAATTAAAACGCCAATGTCTATTTGATGGAGTAGCATCCGGAAAAGCGATAGATAGTATAACGGGGGCATGGTCTGAGATCACAATACTCCGATAGTCACAGGAGCAGACCAAAGGGATCAATTGATCGTCAATAAGAAAATAGTCAATCCTGGAAAACGTATGGCGCACCTGTGAGAGGAATGAATATTCACTCCCGCTAGGGTGAAGATGACGCCATAGAACGGACACCCCATAATTTAACAAAAAAGACTGAATAAATGCAGCAGATTTACTCAATATGCCAGGAATAGACCGATCTAAGACAGGATCCAACCAACAATTGAGACCCCCCCCCCCCCGATTTTGAGCTGTTATTCTGAGCATATATTTTGATATGCTAGATATTATGCAAAAGTCTTAGGCAGTCAAAAGAAAATGATGTTTAAGTGATCAAACTATGATGAGTCACGTGAGTCAAACTATGTCACCTGTTAGTGTGTCAGTTTAGCCATTTCAAAATCTCTCCTAAGGTTAACCCAGTATTTGCAGTAAACATACAATATACCCCTGTGCTAGCACCCCCTGTTTGGATAACAAAACCTCATGGAGGTATTTAAAGTAGTGATATTGTCCAGATCAGCGAAATACATTGTTTGGCTAATAAATTCCTCATTGAGCCATTTAACTAACTAATTTAATTCATTAAGAGGGCTGATGATGAGGAGAGGTTTGGTAACTGAAGCGGTTCATCCAATAAGATATCAGGGCCATTTTTGATGAGAGAAATTCTTGTTATTTTTTAGAGTGTTGGTGTTATTTTGCATATGTTCTAATGTTAAATTGTTTTTTTCTGTAAATATACACTTACTACCCAGAAAAATAGCTTTAAACGTTTTTTCTTTGATGACATAATGCTTTCACACAGCACAGTAATGGCAATTCTGTTACTACACTTGAAATAATTTTCACATACGTAGGTTAAAGTTGTAGCAGTGGAAAAGAAAATCAACGAGATTGTGAACCGGCTGGAGAAGACGAAAGAGGAGCGATACCCAGACCTAGCGGCCGAGAAGGAATCTCGGGACAGGGAGGAGAGAGCTGAGAAGAAAGCACAGATCCAGGAGTTAAAAAAGAAGGAGAAGGAGGATGTGAAGAAGAAGAAAGAGATGGATGAGCTGAGGTGAAAATAAAAAGCGGACGGCTTTTTCTGATGTGCAAATTGAAAGGCGTCGATTTTATTTTGGTCTTTAGTCTCATCTTTGTTACATCCTGGTTGTTATTGTGAGGAGAGTAAATGATATAATCATGGAAAATCCAAGGGTTATAAAAAGCGAACAAATGTCCAACAGTGGCCTGGAATTTATGAACTGTTATAGTTAGATTTTTATTTTTTGATTTCCCGTAGGAGTTACTCGTCTCTTATGAAAAGTGACAACATGACGACGAATGAGGTAAGTTAGGGTACAGTCCTCAAGTGGACGTGTAAAATGTTATGGCATTTTACGCATAAACTTGCACTCCAGTTTTTCCCCAAATGTTTCATGATTTTGTCATATGTGTCATGTGACTTTGTATACAAATGATCATAAATCACTATTACTGCAACTCATACATGTTCTGCTTTTAGCCTGGGGGATGTCATCATTCATTTTATTCTCCTCCTGTAGGATGGCAATGATTCTGACGACTTCATGTAGAGATGAAGAGTTTCGAGGCTGCCCGATTCTCGCCCGTCCCCTTAATTAAAATCCAAAGTGCTCCGTCACCATTCATGTGAACACTTAAGGTGCCGGCTTGCGTGCTGACGGTGTTTCCAGTGGAGATGACGGCTCTGTTCAGCTGCCAGACTCTGAAAGGAAATCTGCCACCTTCCGGCTCCCTATTAACCGATTAACCGCTGCATCACACAGACCTCGAAGCTGACGGACAGCGTGGGAAAACAGGAGAAATCCTTGGTGCTGTTGTATTTCGTGAGCCAGCAGTAGTACCCCAGAGGGTGCTGTTTGTAGTGTGACCTTCGGAAGATACCGCAGGTCAGCCAAGTCTGCATGAGACACTCTAAATTCTTGTGGGAACTGGTCTGGGTGTGAGGGGTTATCTGTGTGTTTTTTATTAATGTAATCTCTGCTAATGCCCTGCAATGGCAGCCGGATTGAAATGCGAATTTGTCTTCAGCCACAGTTTTTTAACACGTCGCCGGGGACGGTATCTCAGCATGCTCTGTTTCAAAAACTTTATTGTACGATGGGTGATCGTCTTGGCAAAAAAAACAACATATATCTACTGAGGTTGTCTGCAACATTAAAACTGCTAAAAGAGAAATCAAGCTTAATTTTAAATAAACATTTGGTTCATCTAAGTGTAGATGGTTTAAGCGATTTCCCCGCCCCCCCCGACAGCACAAATTTAGCTTAATTTCATTAAAGCAAAGTACTTTTTTAGGAAGTGTGTCTGAAATGCAGAAACCATGACTTTGAAGGCTGTGTTTGTTTCTGGAATCATCTTTTTTTTTTTTTTTGTTTGACATCTGTTTAGTTGTCAAAATCGAAAACAAACTTTTCCCACTGCCTGTGTCTTCCTCTACTGCATTCATTAAACACTGTTAAGTTCAGTCAAAGGAAGTCTTAAAACCTTAATTGGGTCATTGTATCATTTGCCATGGCATTGTGTTGTGGTTGTAGGGTGTCTGCTACAGAGCAGTGGAATGACCATAAAACGTTTTCCCAGAATTGTCGCACATTTATTGCTGGGTGGCTGTTTTTGGTTTAATTGGCTTATGTTGTTCTCTCCACATTTATCAGGGGTCTCCATCTCCGGTCCTGGAGAGCTACTATCCAGTAGGTTTTCTCTCCCACTTGGCTTCTGATGAGCCACACCTGCTCCTGGTATTTACCTGAGAACTAGTGTGGCTCATCAGAAGCCGGGTAGGATAGAAAACCTACTGGATAGTAGCTCTCCAGGACCGGAGATGGAGACCCCTGGTCTAGATGAATCAATGAATTTAAAAATGAGAGGAGGGAGAAATCGCATTAGGTGGTGCCCAGGGTCACACTGTGACCTCGCCCCTGCAGGGTTGTGGGTTCGAGTCGCATCTTCTCCCAGTGTTTTCTGGGGTTCCTCCAAGTACGTCGGCTTCCTTCCACAGTCAAAAACTTTCTTTTTTTCCCCATGATGTTTCAAGAACAAAACATCCACATCGAATGTTCAAAGAACAGCGTTTTTGTATGGTGCCAAAAATGTATGATTTTTCATAACAGTGTTAAGCGACGACAAGGTACGGGAAACTAGAATATAGATTGCAGTTAATTGCGTTTGAAACAGCTTCATGTACAGTTTGAAGTATGTATCCGAAGAGCTTTGGTCTTGAAATTTAAAATGCAATTAGGGGAATTTTAGGCCTGTTTGAAATCCAAGAAGGGTAGAAATGTATTTATTCAGTCATCTGTTTTTCAGCTTAATCATTCATAATTTCCAGATTTGCTCTGCAAACCTACTACTTAAATGAAAATGTGCAGGACAAAAAAAAAATACTGAATTTCACACCAGATGAAGTGAATTAGTTAAGCTGCTGGCCTCTGTGCCTGGTTCCTCTGCCAAACAGACCTTTGCTGTGTTTGTTGTGTAGAAATGAGCATAATTTGAAGTGCATTAGTGAGCAGTGTGCTGCTGGGCATTCGCACGCTGTGGATTACACTGGGGGTGTCAGGACTCCCCCTTAATGGGTCACTGAACTGGGATCCAGGGCTTGTTGGATTTTCTATTCAAAATAAACTCTGCTAAAATATACCTGCATAAATCTGTGCTGGCATCTGTTTTGTGTCACGTCAATTCTATTAAATCAATATAAAGTGCAGAGGTAAACTAAATATGGGAGGCTTTTATTGTATGCTCTGTGTTACCTTGATTAAAAAATATTTCTTTGTTCTATTATATTTGCCAGGAAATACTAGAAGCCTGCATGCAGAAACTGGGCTCCTCATCAATTCTTATTTTGTGGCCTTTTGTAACCACCTGGTTGTGTTTATTAAATCTCTGATCGCACACTGTTGCAAAATATATAAAAGCAATATTGAACCCGCTGTAAAAGCCAATCCATTCGCTTAATGGGTTTTCAGACAGTTAAGTTAAAAAGCTGATATAAAGCACTATTCCAAATTTGAGAACGTTCTAGGAAGGTACCTGTGGACCGCCTCACATCTTTAGGTTTGGGCTTCAGACACGTCTCCTGCTTTGTGTGTGGAAATTTAGATTAACTGTTTTGATCCCAGTGAGGGATTCTGGTGCATAAAGCAGCAAGAACTTGGAGGACAGAAACTTATAGCGCCAAACGGACAAGGTGCAAAGGCGGCACACGCAGTGTAAACAAAGTAGGTTTAAGTCTAAAAGACTTAAAAAGTAGACCGTACGCGAAATATCATGAAAAACAGAATATTGACATACTTCACAAATATTTAAGATAGGAATAATAAATTCTGTGCAAATAAAGCACTGGACTTTCACTGTAAAAGCATGTTGTCCCTGCATTGTGTGGGGGTTAGAGGAAGAGCGGGGGTGTGTATCTGTCATTGCTGTGAACAGGCCTGCCCTGTGTCTTGCTTGTTCCCGGTGACAAGATGATCTCCAATTTTTCTTTTTTTTTTCTTTTAGAGAACCTAGACATTTCTAGTAAGACCAGATATCAACAGAAACTCAACAAGACTGATATACGCCATCCGTACTCATTATGGAGTCATCTTTTTGTACTTGACAGTTACATTTCTTTATTCACAAGGCACTTTTGTCCAAAGTGACGCACAAATGAGGATCAGATAGTCAGTATCCTGGCGTTGAGCTTCTTGCTCAAGAGGCAAACAGTGGAATGACTGGATTTGACCCAGCAACCATTCAGTCAAGAAGGTGCAGCGCTACACTAAAATAAATATGAGGACAGCCATTGTCCTCTTATTTCATTGTGGCCATTTTGGAGAGAGAGTAAAATTCACACTGAGTCATTGTGTGAGTTTCAGGCACCTGTTTTATGGGTGAAAGTGAGCACATAACATACTGTACACAGGTTTTAAAGCAAGTTCATATCTTTTATCTTCGCTGCAGGTTTTGCAGTTACCTTTAGTCATGCACCTCTACTCAGTGCATGCAGGAAATACCAGGGATTGTCAGTATGGAAAAAGTTTTATGTTCAAGTGACTCAATGGAATAATGGCGTCAAGGTTTGCAGGTGATATATGAATAACCAGGAGAAGCTACAGGTCGAATGGAAAAGTTTTATGGATTGTGGCTCGCATCTCTACAACGAAATTTATAGTAGGAAAATAACAGATATATCAAAACATAAAAGATGATGTGTGCTTAAGTAGCCAGTATTGCATTACCCATATCAGACACTAGATGGCAATTTAAACCGTTGGAGCAATATGGAAACGCTTGGAACATGGAAAGATTTCCATGTCAGCTAAATGTAAAAACTTATTATGAAAAGACAAGGAAATGAAAATGAAGAAAATGTGCATCATGTTTTTTGTCACTGTAAAAATATGTGAATTTTGTCGTTTTGTTTCTAGTTAGTGCTCTGCTAAATATTTTGTCAAAAAGAAAGTTTTTTTTTTTTTTTTTTTTTTCTTATTGTACAATATAGGAGTTTTTGAATAACATGTTTTCCTCCAAAAATCAGGCTTATATAACCTAAAACATGTCAGCTTTGGTATAGATTAACGCCTCGAAGCTGTGGAAAGCACAAGCGGACAGGCGGATATTGATATATATTATCAAATGAGACGGTGTTTGCTTGACCTCCGGAGAAGTTTCTGGTTCTTTATTGTTACGGGACCTGGGTTTGCTCAGCTTAATTTGTTATTGTGTGGGGCAGGTCATATGTGGTGAAAAAGCTGATTTTTCTGGAAAGAAATATGTTTTAAGTGGGTTGAGTGGGACGGCAAAAGGTTAGCGAGAGTACAAACATCTTTTCCCAACAAGTTATACAAAAAACAAAGGCCAGCCGTAACAGGCAGCCCGGACAGCCACGGAATGTCAGAAATGGAAAGTTTTGTATTTAGAAATGCTGCAAATAAGCATGTTTTGTGTATTGAAATGCATATGATATGCATTAATTCGCAGTGCACACTTCACCTACAGTATCTTTTTCCCTTTGCATTTAGGTGAAGTGACATTTTATGTTGTTTACAGCTGTCATTTGCGGAGTAAGCAGGAACCGGCATGCTGGTCCTAGGCTGTGATTTGTGGGGGGGTGAGGGGGGGTGCTGACCGTCCTGTACTGGGTGAGTCTGTTGTTTGGGACACGCCGGCTCTGTGCGGCTGGCACATGAACACAGAGGCACTGGGCAGCTCTAGCACAATGAGGGCGAGTCATTGCCGGGGGGGGGGGGGGGGCTTGGAGCCAAGGCCGGACTGGGAGTCACGCGCCGGGCTGGAAAGTCTGACCCGGCTTGTCACTGCTGATACTCCTCCGCTAGTGTGTTGGGCCGGTCCTGTTTATCGGAAACACTTAGTCACTGGTTTCGGTAAGGCCCAACTCATAACTGCCCCCTCCCCCACCCGGCCTGTGCCCCATCGAAGCACCTGCCTCTCATAAAGGAGGCACGAAGTAGCCGAGTGGAAAGAATAGTGTCCAAAAATAGTAACACGAGGAGAGTCATTGGGCGTTTAATTCTGTTTGTTTACTTATTTCCTCTAAAACACTGCAGCGTTATACTGTGAAACGGCTGCAATGAAACGTCATTATAGGTTATTTATTTTGTCACCGCATCAGATCTGCTTGTGGCAGGTGACATAAATTGTCTGGGTCGCATTCCAAAGGATCTGGCCCACGCCTCGCATTTCTGCAGGCCGCAGCCAATAAGAGCCACGCTTCAATAGACAAAGGAAGCCCCACCCGCCCCAGCGGCTGATTGGTCTGGGCAGCATACCCGATCCGGGGGTGTCCCTAGGTGGTCTCCTCTTTCCTGTGTAGCCGGGGGTGGGCCGCAGAGGGGTCCCCAGCCCCAGGCCATGGTGGTTGACTGTTTTCAGGACCACACACCAGCTCCGGATGACTCTGGGGGTTTGCCGTGTGGGATGCCACATAAACAAAGAGGACGAGGCCCTCCGCGGCTCCCCCTCCCAGGCCAGACCGGGCCAGCTCCGGCCTCCAACAAAAGCAAACAAGCCAATAATAAAAGGCCGGCTTGCTGTCCTTGGAAGAGTTTTTCCCTGCCCCGAGGAAATATGGAGCCCACATGGGGGCCGATGGGCCACTTCCTACGGCCCGGGTACACCTCGGGCCCCAAACCACGGGGCCCCTGGCTCCGCTTCAAGCCTCTGCATTGTCGTGAGTCCCCCCCCCATTCGTCAGGCTCCTTTGGTGTCTGACCACCAGAATGTCAACTTCAAAAATGGCGGCTTCGGGGGGGGGGTATTTGCTTCCTATGTGTGATGGGGCTGTAAAATGTATTTAATTGTGGTTCTCATCCCTGCTGATTGCTAACACATGCGCTATTCAAATGCCTAACAGGCATTAGCACTGAAACCCCAGAATATATGCTAAAATAAGAACAATCCTGATTTGCTGGGAATTCATCATCATTATTGCTCGCTGTGCCCGTTTGTATGGTTGTTTTCCTCATAATAGCTAAAAGATGGAATTTTAGCTGAGATTAATACCACACAGCACTGAGTGATTCATGTTGATGGCTTAGATTGTAGCTACACATATTACAATTTTCTGTTTTCGAGACAG